GAAAGGGCATGATAGGCCGTGATGAGCTGCATCACAGCACCTCAACATATAAATCTCTTTAGGTCTTATTAAATTCCAAAACCAACGTCTACATTTCTAGAGCGAAAATTATGAAAACCAGGTTAAGTTACTTGGTGATATTAGCAAACGATGGTAGCGGTGTGCCTTTTGTTTTAAGTGAAAACCAACTACACCATTAAATTCAGCGCATTTTTTTACCTAGAAATTTAGTTTGAAAACTGGAGAAGGTCAAAACAAAATTCTGACTGCCGAGCCCCAGGTACTCTGAAGAAACCGCGGGTGGCAGGATTACAGTCTGTTAGAATATATTGGATAATGTACTGACTACACGTATCCTATAACGAACCAACACACTTCCCGTCGTATTGTTCATTAGACTGATACACGATGTTCAAGGAATACATGTTACTGACAGGGCGGAGGAGCGGTCTCATTAAGACTGTACGTGTACGAGTATAGACTGTCACTCTACGGTATCTTCTGTAATTTTTCTATTTTCTATTGAGGGATTGCTTTATTTATTCTGCTCGTCTAAGTCAGTTTAGTTTATTTACTTTATTAAATATTATTGGGCATATTTTGCAAAGGATGATCAAAACGGACTTCCCACGGTTGCACGGTGACCTCGCGAAGGTCAGTTGCTTTTGTATCGGATGCGCGTTGTGTAACGGACAAAACGTGTAAAAGACCTTCGATGAGTCCGCGGAAAATTTTCAACAAATCGAGTTTGCGTAAGTACGTGCCAGGAAAGAAACTGACGCGCTTAAGTGAAACTAAAAAAAGTCAAATCTAGTGCATGAATGTGAATTTAGATTTTAAATGGTTAATGTATTATCGTGTCAAAAATATTTTTTTAGTTTTGATTTCGTACATGTGTATGCGTTTTCATTTTAAACAAACAAACGGTTTTTTATCGGGGCAACGTTCTTTAACGGGGCAGGCATTCATTTATCACAACGGCCGCATGCAGCAACTTGCTGATTAAATAAAAAAACTTCAGATTTCAAAAAATCTAAAAAGAAAACGCAAGCAAAAATATTAAAACAAAAAAGCATAAGAAAACCTAAGCAACTAAAGCCTAAGAAAGCCTAAAACACTTAAGAACGCTTAAGGAAATTTAAAAAACCTAAAAAAGAAAACATGAGAGAATAAAAATATAAGGAAGCATGGGTAAACATAAGAACAACCAAGAAACCTGGGGGAAAAGCCAAGATGGCTAAAATGTCCAGTTGCCGAAGTGAGCGTTGGCCGAAATGATTCTGTGCGGCCGGTTAGAATGATTTCGAGATTAATTAAGAATTTTTTTTAAAGCAGTGAGGCCAGGTCAGGGCACTGGACCCTCCCTTCCAGCTACCCCGAATCGGGTTTTTGCTTTCAAATGCTGCATTCTAGGTGAACTGGATTGATAGCTACTGAGTAGGTAAATTCGAGGTAAATTTTCTGATAGCGAATTCGCAATCAGGGAGTCCAATTTACCTAAAATCCAACATTTGAAAGCAAAAAATCGAATAAAAAAGTCCCTTGAGAGGACCGCCTGGGTAACTGGAACTGAGGATCCAGTGCCCTTCCCTCACTGCTTTTAAAAAATTAATAATGGGTTTTTTTAAAAAACTGACAACGCTAATTAATTTGTTTGAGTTTAAGGAAGCCAAACAGGAGAAGAAAATTTCATTGAAGATGTTCTCGGGATACCTGACGGTAAATGTGCAGATCTTATGCCTAGGCGAATTTAACTCGTTTGGGCTTGAGGGGGGTCTCCGGTGCTCCTGACTCCTGAGCATTACCCTAGTTTGCTCGCCAGCCTGTGCAAATGCAGATGCGAAACTGTGGCAAAGACACTTCCACAATCCACAGTACACGTTGTTGACGTTAATAGTACGAAGTATACATATTTATTGTCGTTTAATAAATTAATGAATTTACAGTATCATCCAAGCGTGATATAGCCACACGTCGCCATACGATCTCGTACAGATCGTTATATTCCACACGGCACAATGCATCGCTATGTTCCACAAAGAAAGTAAAACGTCCGTCGGCTTCTTGTCAAGAAATTTAAAATATTTTACTGTTTTTCGCAAAATTTCTAACAATTTTTGTAGCGAAGACGTGCGTCGGCTTCGCGCGAAAGTTCCGTTTCTCTAACTGAGTACATGATGCAGCCTTACACCTTGATCTTTAACATATGCTGCACGAAATTTGGAATTATTCTATTTCTCATAGAATTTCTGGCACTTTTACAGCGGATTTGCTCGTTGGCTTTGCGCTTCGCGCGAAAAGTGCCAGTGGATAGTGATGTACCTACTTTTGGATCCGCTGCCCTGTTTTACACGCAAATTGAAACAGTTTAAGTGTTTTTAAACATCTCAACCACTGTCTGCAGCAGAGTATTGCGTCTTCTCTTGGGTGTTTTGGACCATTTCGCATAATGCTCATTACCCGAAAAAACAAGCTAGAAATCGGCAAAATTTTGTTGGAGTACGTACAATGGTCACGAATTAGCTTTACATTTCGTACGCCGCCCCTCCAGGGGTGTCCATCATTGCATCATTGACTTCTCACTATTTTAGGCCCTGGAACTTATGGCATCCACGGTGACTCATTAACAGGCTTATCTGACCACGGGGTCTCACATAATCAAGTGGGCAAGGGTCAATAACTAGAGATGTCACCAGAACATTAAGAGCATTTGTTGCACTTCAAATCAACAAAATTGGGTGATTAGAAGCTGAGATCATTGTCCGGTAAGGAGAGGGCGGGAATCGTGGCATAGATGATCAGTATTCAATATACTATTCATATAGGATAACTGTTGGGTGCCGCCGTGCCGTTATGGCGAACATACTTTGTCCGACTAGGGTGCGATGAACATCCGGTTTTGCCATAGCTCCCAACGCTACTGGCATGGGTACAGATATACAAGTCAAGTGCCTGCTTTGTTTGCAAAAACGAAACGCGCACTGTACAACGTACATAGCTAGGGTCATAGTTGGGTGTTCATCGCACCTATCGTGCAGGGTATGTCTAATTTTACTGTAGTAGTCTACAGCAGCCAAGGATTCTCGTAACTAAACAAACTTCTGTTGTTGGACAAATAAACGTAAGCCCGTGGTAACCCACCAGACACCTGACTAGTACTGTATATCCAATGGCATCCATGGTAACAAATTTTTCTAATTCGTAATTAAGCAAGATTCATGATTAAAAATGTGACTGCTGGACGCCAACGGCGCGGCGCGCTGAACGGCTCCGTATGCCGATCCCTTGTTCCAGCTGGGATTTCGGCAAAATTGAAACCACGTCGCATACGTCCGAACGACGCCCCGAGGGATGCATCTTTGCCAGACAGAGAGGGATGTGCTTACTTGTTAGCGTGGGACGTCACTTGAGTTGTGACGGTGACGTCCCACGCTAAGCACATCTCAGAACAAGTCAACGGCTGCAAGCACTGGTGCAGCGGCGTTGGAAGCGGAAGCGAAAGAAAAAAAGAAAGGCTGTATTTGTATTCGGCAGATACATCTTTGCAACGATAGCTTTCGAAACAATCGGCCCTTGGGGACCGTCCGCTATCGCCGATTCGCCATTATCAAAGCGCTAGGCAAACGACTCGAGCAACAAATAGGCCGACACCCGCTCCCATGAAGGCACCTTTGTACGCCAAAGATTGTCACTGGAGATACAGCGGCTCTCTGACACTTCGGCTACCAGACAATTCGGCCGCCCGTTCAATTCGGCCGTAAGAAAACCTAAGAATTCTAAAAAACTTAAGAAACCTAAGAAAAACAAAAAAATATCAGGCAGCCGAAGTGTCATGCCCCGATACGGTAGGATACCGTACCGCGATACGGCTCGGTAACGCGGCATCAGTCATGGGAACGATGGAAGGAGCAGAAAAGTTTAATGAAATTATGATGTTGTAAAAAATGCTGATGTTTTTTACTATTATAAATTTACGTTGTACCACAGGTAAAATAAAGAACTGCTGGATCAAGCATTTGCGTGAGAGACGTGCTGCCAGACACATGGTAGTATGTCTGCTGTCATTGTGTCACATTCATTAGCAATTTAGCATTTAACATTAGAGAGAGCTATGTACAGTCTGCTGCCGTGCTCTTTTGCATACGAAGTACAATATACTATTTTAGATTAAATACCATTCATCCGGCGGTCCCAACTGGCATCAATCAATTCCCACGTGATAAGCAACTGCAATTAGGATAACCTAGTTAAATTAGCCTGCGTACTGTTGACAGCGTCACCAAAATGCTATAAACAACAATTACAACATTAGGAACCGTAAATTAAATTAGGGATCGTTTCTTTGTCTGCATCCAGAGCAGCGAAATTGCGATTAAGCCTATGTCACGAGCACATTCCTGTCGGCGGCCTCGAAGAACACGCTGTAACACCTTTCCAGTTCCACAAGCTAATTATTTTTTCCATGGCTTTTTGCTGACCGATAAGAAATATAGTGGAGAAATGTAGATCCAGGACTTTCACTTTATGCTGCATTAGTAGGTGCCACAAAATCATTTGCAAGGTACGCCGCGATCGTTTTGGGGGCGTACAGGTTTATCATATCCCTACCGGAAACAGTAAGACGTTAAGTTGGAAGACTAAAAACTGATTTGGTAGGTTTGCTGCATCCAGAACACCAAAATTTGTACCGTCGGTTCTATAACACAATGCAGGAATAGGAAGACAGGCTTTGAATCCATTATCCAACATACTAGTACTTAGTGTACTGATCACTCCCGTCGGATCGCGTTACATTTCGGCTGCAGAGGATCACTGTACGTAGATTTCGAAGCCGTCTACGTAGGGTGTTGTGTCATATACACTAGCGCCATCTGGCTGAGTCATGCACGAGTTACTGGCACTCACACCCACACACGCACCCTCTGCGTGACTGTAAGTACCTGTCATGCGGTCATGCGACGCATGCCTAACTTGTAAAGTAAATTTAAGAATGGAGGGCTAATAACATCATTAATGATTAAGTCACCTACTCTAGAGCAACGGTTTATTGTTTATTGTACTCCATGGCGAATTTTAACGGGGCACGTGCCACCCCCCTCGGAATTTTTTCAAAAGTGGGCAGGTAAAGCCTTTAAAGGGGAGTACTGATTAAAAATTAATGTTAACCAGTTTTGCAGTTTTTGGGCAAAATTCCAGCGATTTTCTCGCCAAGGCACATTCCGCGGCTATAAATTCAAAAAAATCTTTTTTTTGCAGAAAGGTTGAACAACTATCTAGGATCCTTAAAAAATTATTTGATGTGCCATGGTCAACAGGGCGTGGCAAAAAAATTTAAAATTAATTTCTACACTGTGTTATAGTCTGTAGCCCTGTACCGTGCACGCAATGCACCGCATTCTAGGTTATCTTCTCTATCTCTATACATTCATAGCGTAAGCTTTAGCAAAATTCCATTCGTATCTCCCTTTTGCAAACGATTCACTGAACTAAACTTTGATGTCTATAGATCATTCAATAGCAAAATAGCGCTGAGATCATAGATTTGCAGAAACGGGTTAGTTTTCCAAACTATTCAAGACTAAAAAGAAAATTTCGAAAAGGCTTGACATACGAAGTCTATGGGAAAAGTTAAGAACCCACCACTGCAGAACCCACCACGTCACCACTGTCTCCCACAGATGCACAGAATGAGATAGCCAGAAACGCAGTTCTACAGTTCCGCTGAAGCGCTACACAGAGTCAAATTCAAACCTTAGCGCATGTCATTCGGCAGCTTTTGAGCTTATTAGTTTTTCATTAAAAGTCAGTTTCGAGAAAGAAAATAAAAGGGTTGAAAGAAAATTTTCAAAAGCGGGGACCGCAAGATCTGCAGATAAAGTAGATGCCTGCCGTAGCGGTTTGATCAGTTTTAAATTTCCAGTGCTGTCACGGGCGGGTGCGGTTATCTTTGTTGCCGAATCTCGTCTGCAACGAGTTGATCAGACCCTCTCTGGGAGCAAATTTTTCGAAACTTTTGTTTTCGGAGAAGCAACGTAGTACGGTTTAAAATTCGTTATGTATCGCATGGTGCTTGGTTATAAAATGATTATGCATTACATCTTCACAATATAACAGACAAAGGGGTTTGCAACTTTGGGATACGGCCAGGGTCTTGGATTAACTATGTCATCCACTTCCTGGTTACAGCAGTAGTAATCGTAATGTGACTAATGTCTGCAACATAATTATTTTCAATGCGTAAATGTTGCTTTGCTATCTGTAGTCTAAACGCCGTATAGGTAGACCATCTAATCAACATTTACAGTACACACAACATTAAAATTATTTTAAAATTTTATTGCAGTTGCTGGGGCAATAGCGGTTCCGAATCAATTGATTGCTATCAGCGGGCAGAGTAAATTTAAAAAGGGCAGAATGGGATGAGCAGACATAATTTTGGGGATAAACTTGAGCGGAATTTGCTTGATGGATGATCAGGTAAAGATTAAAATAATCTGTTAGAAAACTGAACAAAAATCGTAACGTTTCCGGAATAAACATTTTAACTTTTTGATGGTCGAGTTCTTTCCAGTCAGTGGGCCCGAAATACTCAAACGTTCACACAAAAAGAATCGGTAAATTATGTTATCGGTAGAATTGTGAACTAATGGATAGCTCAGAGTAGCCATTTGTCAGTCAGGTATAAACAAAGCGTAAATTAATTGTCCTTTTGTCATTACAGTATTTGCCAGTGAAATTAAATTATTTTACGCTTCATTTTAACAACGTTAATTTTGCAGTAATGAATTAATATTTTTTGCAGCAAGTATTCCAACGTTGATTTATTCCGCGCAGTTTGCGCGGGGTCTACTAGTCTCTTCTCTATATAATAATCGCGTAAGCTTTAATCTTTGTTGAGTTCGCCAGCTCGATGCACTGGACCAAAATGCCATGACCATGTATCATTCGATACCCTTAAAGTGTAGATTTGCCATCACAAATCCGTTTCTGGAGAAAAGCAAACGTTTGAAAGAAATCCTTCAAAAGCCTTAACATATAAAGTCTATGGGGAAAGCTAAGAACCCACCAGTGCTAAAACTGACCAGTGACCACCCCACCACTGTCTCAATAGCTAACACGCTTTTTGACAATTTCGCTGACTCTGAATGGAACTTCAGATTACTGCGTCGCCGTACATGCCGATTGTACATTTCTGATCAAAGTTTAGACACTGAAAAGAAAATAACTGGACAAACATGGCCGAAATGAACTGGGACCGTGGGACGATTCTCAAGTCTGTTTTTAAGTAAGTGACTTCCGTGGTGCCCGGGTGGTGGTTTTGCGCAGTTATGCTGTAAAGTGCCTTCATGGACGGGCGCGGTTCCTTCTTGCTGAACTGCCGGTGATTTGTAAAAGCCGATTTTTCGAAATCTGCAGCTTTGCACTTTCCAATAGAAAAAGCTGTTTAAGAAGCGCAAGGGGGCAACTTGGCATCTCTAAGGTTTGCATCGAAAAACAACAAGCTGTTCGCTCGGCTTGGTACGTGGTGATCGAGACCGTCTTATACATATTATTTTAGTGCGAAGCACCACAGTGGAGCTTCGAGCTAACAGTAAGGGAAAATGCTTCATTATTAAGTAACAAGGGACTTCTGGAACACTCGAAATCATTTTTTAAAATTTAATATATGGCGTAATAGAAAGCGGAGTAGCAAACATGCAAGAAATTCACGTCACAGTTCCCGATTTTGAAAAAAGCTAAGAGCGGAGAAGGAAACACAATGAAATGCTCACATCTTGGATTGCCGAAAGTGGTCTGACTGTGTTCTGTTGTCAAATCAGTAGTAAAAAAGGTGGCTGTCACTCCATTAGTATGCCGATTGTTAAACTGGGATAATTATAAAGGGCAACAGTGGTGTTCGCGGTAAAACTGGGATTCGAAGTTAGTAAACTGTTGACGTGTTGTGCAGCTTCAAAAATCGCAGAATGACAAAACAAGAAGGGAGAACAAGTTCTAAAATACAATAACTTATGAAGTCTATATGCACCAACTGCACGAATTTTAGCTGATGGTGACTGATCTGGAAATAAAGAAATAGGGCGGAAGCTAATGAGAAAATTTGTCCGGTTTTGGGGAAAAAATAGAGGTACATTTCAGTCTTTGGTCATCTCTGCACTCGACTAAAGGCGAACGCAGATTTCCATGAATTCTATCGTAAACTGTAGTCTTTAGTGTATAACAGAATTCTACGCTTCGCTCATAAAACCTACCCATGATCGGTAGGTCCTATACTTATGTACCTGCAGTTATGACTTTTAATTTTTGCACTGGGTCATGATTTGTCCATCGCATTATTTATGCCGCGCAATTTGGGGGTCAGCTAGTAATATCATAATCGCGTAACCCTTAATCTTTGTTGCGTCCGCCAACTCGATACGCTGAACCAAACTGCCATGACTATGTATCATTTGATAGCCCTTAAAGTGTACATTTGCCATCCTAAATCAGGTGGTGGAGAAAAAGATACGTTTGAAAGAAAACTTTCTAAAATTTTAACATACAAACTCTAGGAAAAGCTAAGAATCCATCATTGCTAAACCCACCATCCCACCACTGTCTCAACAGCTAATAAACAAGCTTTTTGGAAAATTCCGCTGCAGCTGGATGGAAATTTGCGTTCCATAAAAAATTATTCGGTTGCCGTACGTTTGTGCATTTCTCATCAAAATTTAGTACATGATGACTGAAGTTGAAAAAGAAGAAAAGATTGGACAAACATGTTTTTCAAGTACCTGACCAGTGACCGTTATACTATAAAGTGCCTTCACGGGCGGGCACGGTTGCCATTCTTGCTGAACTGCCGGTGATTATTTGTAAAGTGTTAGGGATGACGCTTGTACGTCACCATCTCCCGTGCATATGCAGTATTTATTAGCATTACACGTACGTCTTATCATTACCTGTTGCACCGCATTAACTGTGTTTAGCACTTGGCTCGATAGCCAAGACAGGTACAACGCAGTACACATACGATCAGCACTACACTGTTGCGATAACACTGAGCTTTGAAGTTCTGATCCGCTGGATGTTTTGGCAGATAACTTTAGTTGAGAAGTTATGATCGCACAACTCTGGAATTTCTTGTGATTACCGATTTTGACTAATAAAAGCGTTACGGAAGTCGAGCGGTGTTTCTCCCGTAGATTTTCATAGAAAATCGTTCTTCTTCCTAGCCTGCCCCGTGGCATGGCTATCAAAAGCCGATTTTTCGAAATTTGCTGCTTTATAGTTTTCAGGAGAAGAGGCTAAAAGCACAATACCTAAAAGAGCTGATCACAGTGAAAAACCAAGAATTGGCCAAAAAGTTGTGTGAATCCTTAGCCGCCTTTGCGAACATAATGCTCCAGGGGGCCATACCCCAGGAAATTGCCGACAAACTACACGGAGGAAATTTGTTCGCTTTCAGGAAGAAGGACAGCGGGATTCGCCCCATTGTAGTTGGAACGAGTCTACGACGTTTGGCCTCCCGCATCGCATCTTTTAGGTCGGGTCATTTGAACAACGAATTGCGGCCCTTTCATTTGGTCTTTGCCACCAAGGGGGGTGTGGAAGCCGCAGTCCATGGCGCGCGCTACTTCTTGGAAACTGCAACAACATCGGACAAACCACAGGTTTTCCTTAAGCTGGATGCAAAGAATGCCTTTAATTCCCTTGACCGAAATTATATCATGAAAGCCACTGCAGAACACTTGCCAGCGTATAACAAATACGTGTGTCGTGTGGCAGTGACGCAGTGTTATGGCGCACCGACCATATTAATGCACGGCAAATATAGAGTGTCATCGCAGGCGGGCATTCAGCAAGGAGACCCCCTCGGCCCGCTACTGTACTGTCTTGCAACCATTGGACCACATAAGTACCTTAGGTCGAAGCTCAAGGAAAGCTTCCTGAACGATGATGCATTGGGTGGTGATCCGGATGACGTGTTCGACGATCGTTCCACTACAGGAAGCCTTAGAACAACGTGGGCTCATGTTAAATATCGGAAAATGTGAACTGGTGGTTATTGGTGGGAATCCAAGTCCGCTCCGAATCCAAGTCCGCGCTGAACCTCGGACTTGGATTCGGAGTTGGATTACTTAAACTTTGACTTGGATTTGGAGTCGGATTACTCAAACTTGGATTTGTCTTGGATTACTCGGGCCCCCGCTGAGACTTGGATTCGGATTTGATCATTCTTAGGTTATTTTCAGGTCGTTCTTAGGCTCTTCGGTTTCTTCTTGGTCATTATTAGGTTCTTAAGTTGTTCTTCTTAGGTTTTGTTAAATATTCTTAGGTTTTGTTAGATTCTTTGGTATTCTTACGTACTCTTAGGTACTTCTTAGGCTTCTTAGGCATTCTTAGATATTCTTAGGTGTTCTTAGGCCTTATAAGGTTTCCTAGTGATCGGACGCGGTTTCCTAGCCGTTTCCTAGGCTACCTATCACTTCGGCCGTTTTTATTTCGGCCGCGCTCATTTCGGCCAAAGTTTTTCGGCCGCGACTCACTTCGGCCGCCATTCACTTCGGCTGTCGTTCATTTCGGCCGCAATTCACTTCGGCCACAGTACACTTCGGCGAAAATAGGGTTTACCAAAACTTTTAATCTACACCGTGTAAGTTCTCGTTATACGCGAAATTTCGATCGGTTTCTACTTTTTATTTCATTTCCACGCATAATTTGTTTGAGCAATTTTTGAAAAGTTACTATACCACCATTAGGGATGCCAAAAACTTGAGTTAATAACTTGACTTGACTTTCGACTTGGTTTTTACAAAAAGTCAAACTTTTCAAATTACTTGGACATCCAAGTTAACTTTTTTGACTTGACTTGGAAGCTCAAGTCAAGTTATTAACTTGAAGTCGACTTCAAGTCGACTTGAAGTCGAATAAAAAGTAATACGAAAATTTGCGTATGGGGGGGAGTTATTAGGCGTCACACACCCGTTCCACGTACTGCTCCAGTCAACCGCCCGGAGCTTTGCCTCCTGGCTGCACATACAGTCTATGCACCCGTGTGGTCATAATCCACTGCGATGGCGGGAACATTACAGCGAAAGTGTGTTGTACGACACCATTATCAAAACATTTTAAAGATATAACGCAGAAAATGTCGGTTTACTTTAAAATTCCTCAAATGTTTTTAAAAACTCGCAAGTCGACTTGAAGCAGAACTTGAGAACTTGGTTTCACAAACCAAATCGACTTCATTGACTTGGTTTGGAAGGAAAAGTTCAAGTTAATAACTTGACTTTTCCTCCAAGTTTTTTCGATTAACTCAAGTTATTAACTTGATAAGTCGACTTCGCCAAGTATTTGGCAACCCTAACCACCATCATGTCTTCCTTTACCGATTGCTCTGACTAGCACCCCGTCAACCGTTATAAGGCCGATGACAAGAAGTCCCGAAGTCTGCCGTCCCGGGAGAGCAATGAAAACTTAACGGTACGGAACTTGGTAAAATATAAAAAACGAAAAGAAAATTTAATCATATCCTAGATTACCAAAGGACAACTTAAGATTCTTAAGTTAAGACTACCTATGAAAACATACAGTAAGAAAATCAAAGAAAACCTAAGTAAACCTAAGAAACCGAAGAAAAAAACGAAAAAACCTTAGAAAGCTTAAGAAACCAAAGAAATCTAAGAAAAGTAAACCTAAGCAATCTAAGAAAACCTAAGAAGCCTAAGAAAACTAAGAACTAAGAAACCATAATGAAACTAAAAACCTTAAGAAAACATAATAAAACCTAAGAAAACCTAGAAAACATGGGAAAACCTAAGAAAACCTATGATGGCCGAAACGTCCAGTTGCCGAAATAAGCGTTGGCCGAATTGAGTGTTGGCCGAAGTGAGCCACGGCCGAAATGAACGTTGGCCGAAGTGAACCTGTGCGGCCGAAATGTAACGCGGCCGAAGTGATCGGACGCGGGTTTCCTAGGTCATTCTTTCGAACCTAGGCATTACCTGAGAATGACCTAAGAATACTTGAGAAAGCCTGGGATTACCTTCGAATATCAAACAATACCTAGAAAAACCTAAGAAGAATACCTAAGAAACAAAACTTAAGACGAGGGGTACCCAGCATATGGTCCCCTTGCGCAAATTTTTTGGGTGCACGCGGTGGTAAATGTAAGGTCAATTTAACTATTGCCGTACGCCACTAAGATGTTGTGCTATCATCTACTAATTTTTTTGGGAAGTTTTGTAGGGTCATTAACAAAATAATGGGGAAATTATTTTTTAGCTTCGACCCCGGTGAAAATATTCACTATACATCCGGTTAGGACGATATGTCGTCTTATGATAGATCTTGATGTCGACTATCCGTTGCTGGTAGGGTTTTGAAAAATTCGAAAAAAACGCCATTGAAATATCAAAAACAAAATTTTAAACCGAAATTCCGGGCGAACCCGACGTCACATCGAGATGAAAATTAGTGCAACGGATAGCGCGAGTAATTGTCTTCCTGTTCACTTTGATGCCGACAATGTACACCGTAACAGGAATATCTTCTTGGACTTGATAAATTGGAAGCCACTATCGCGTCAAAGTTCAGTACAACAGGCAAGTGACCACTGAAGCCACGCACAGAGCATTCTGCCTGCCAGCCTGCCGGTAGCCATTCGGTCAGCCGGTCAGACCACGAAGACTGCTTGACCACAATGGCCGATTGCATACAAACCGGGCCATGTGGCGAAAAGCAAATACTGTGTATCCTGCTCGAATCTTCTCATCTCTTTTCAGTGTCTTTTCCGAACTACGATAGCGAATAGACCCGAAGCAAACTGCTAAGTGCAAACCTGTTGTCATCTCATTTTCGTGCCTTAGTGCTTTTACCAATAATACCAAGCAAAACGTAGCAACGTAATAAGTACTATCAAAACGTATCAAATAATTCGCCACCAGACCTGTGCAGTTATTTTTAACTATTTAACGTAACGCGAGTTATTTTCGAGTTATCGAGTTATAACGTAACTCTGAAGCGTAACTCGTCTCCACGAAAACTTAACTCTGGCGTAACTCGCTCAAAAATTGTATGTATAGTCTATGGTAGCGTAACTCGCTGAATAACTCGAAACTCGGTTTACTTGCATTAATAGCGTAACTCGTAGCGTAACTCGCACGCTCCCTATAACTCCTAACTCTAACTCTGGGTCAGTTTTCCATAACTGCACAGGTCTGTTCGCCACCTACTGGCTTTAACAGGAAAGACTGCACGGATGTAATAATTTTTGTTAGCTTAGGAGTAATTCCTAAGTTTCGAATGAACTAAGCTAGGTTTTGAGCTACGGCACAAAGCGCGTATTTTGTTATTAAATGTGAATAAGCCACTTGAATATAAACATACCTTTAACGCTTTTCGGGCTCGTTTGATCATTTGCCGCTTTGAGGATGTCGGGGCAAGTGCTCGAAAGCCGACGATGTCCAAACGTTCGCAACGGCGCCGATGGTCGCCGACTTCCGTTGAGACGAGCCGCGCCGAACACCCCCAAAGCGAAGCCGCGGCCCCAACCGGAAACGCAAACAACACAAACCGAAACGACAGGTCTGACATCAAGAAGATAATAAGAAAACCTTATACTTGAATGAACAGGTTCACAAATCGAGACGTATATCTCAAGGAGCCGTAATCGAGTAGGTTGCGCAGTTGCGAATGTGATACGACATGTGCCAGAGGAATAAGTTGTAGCATAGGGTTATACTAAAATGCAGACGAGATCAGGGCCGGGTTTTGTTCGGAATGTGGGCTTTCGTTAGTCCAGGGCGGAACGGATCCCGTAGAGTACATAACGGAGTAAACAGGATGCCGATATGGAAGAAAAACAAATGGTTAAAAATTAAAATACATATAATGCAAGTAATGATAAAAAGTAATTTTGGAATATGATGGAAGTACTTGGACAAAAAGATTTTAGTCTTTATTCCAGAGTATGAAATTGCTAATATTGTATCTTGATGAATATGTAGAGTTACTAAGTTAGGTCCATGCTACTAGATTTAGCTTCCTGCGAAAGCGTAACCGTACATAAATGACCACTCTATAATGTCATTATTGTCACTCGTAATAAGAGTTTAGCAGATGTACCGAAGGCGAAACGAAAAAACTATCTTTCAATAATTTGCATCGAGCGCAGCGAGTTGCTGCTATGAAGTCTATCGTCAAGAGCATAAAATTGTCTAACTCCACGAAAAGCGTACGTCACGCTTTTCCAATTCCACAAATCCAATACCATTTTCCAGTGGAATTGGCGCTCAATCGGTGCACCGGTGTGGTTAACAACCCCCGCTAGCACTATATACAAAAAGTATGAAGTTAATTAAAAACAAATTCATAAATTCAAAATCTCCTCTATATAGTATCGTAGCGTTATTAGCGTATAAGTACGTACATAAGAGATTCAGGTACTGTAGTATAGTGGACGTGAAACTGGTATTGATAGTTAATTTTGGTACAACTAATTTTATGCACGTAACACAGATACACTGCTCTGCAGTCCTCTTTTGGGGCCCTTTTGAAGTCTATAGTTTATTGTTTGTGAAAATTTCTATGAATATACTTGGTAAACTAGGGTAGAGGAAAAATTTATGCAAGAAACCCGTATATAAATAGTACAAAGGTGCGGCTGACAAAAAGGGGCATGCAGGATGAATGATGTTAAGAAGAGAATTAGAAACACGTTGTATGAAAGTATGTAATGAATAGGACAGTGAATTATTGCAATGCATTTGTTTATTTGGCAATAGCCTTTCAAAACAACAATGGTGCACTGGCAAGACAAGTTATACGGTTATACCTAAGTATGTAACTGTGTCAGTGTTTAATGTTTCATTCGACTTGAAAGACAATACAAAATTACAGAAGACGATGTTACGCAATCTTTTCTAAAAATTCAACTCGACCATGATTTTTCAGTATAGTGGACATGAGTTTGCTATAATTTTCGCCAAAGAAAAGAAAAACGGTACATTGTAGAGAAGTTGCTGAGAAAATATGCATGGAAGAGAGCAAATGATTAGTCATGAATACAGGTGGGTACTATCATGGAAATGATTAATAGGGTTTAAGTATTTAGTCATTGTTATATTCACTAGAATTGTACAAGCAGATTGAAGCAATTAAACAAAAATACCGCTTATCATAAAAGCGATTGCAGATACGTAGAGTTAGTATCGTAGAGTAGAGTTAGTATTAGAGATAATAGCGCATTGTACATGATCGTATAGTAGAGTTAGTATTAGAGATGATATTAGATGATTAAGTATTAGAAACAGAAACGGCATCAACCGGTTGAGGAAGTCTCTACAACAGACAATGGCTCTTAAAACGCTTCCAACGCTAATTATGCAACATTTAAGGTTCACCTAAGCAATCTGTTTGTTTCGATATACTAGTAGTATTATATGCAAAAAAAAAATTAAACTTGATAAGCAGCCTGCTGTTGGTGGCCTTTTAATATCATAATGTGTAGTAATAGGGTACGCGGTTATTGTAATCTCCATAAGAGGTTTGATTTGATACTTATGAAAAATTTATGCAAATGTTCCACTAGCAGTAAAAATTTTTTTTGAGCAGTAAAAACGTATAGCAGTAAAGTTTTTTGAGAGTGATGGCCTTATCGTGATGTGTAAAGTATCCATTACTGAAACGGTTAGCTTTAACGAGAGTATAGTAAGCTGAATTAAAGGAAGTTGCGGCTGGTAATAGTAATTGCGTCAATAAACTAAAATAAAATAAAAAAGTAATGGCAAAAGAGTAAAATAATATAAACTGAGTCATTATGACCACTGGAGAACATTTGAAATTTTTAGTAGTCGCATTACGGAATCTACTCTAGGATTCAAGTTAATAAAACTCGAGTAAGCAAAAGTTACACAGCTAAATTAATATTAGATAAAAGTAGGCAGACAGACAGATTTTTACACGAGTATGTACAGCTACTAGAGAATAATATGGATTTTTATTTTAGGAGAAATTCTCTATAGATTATGAGATAGGAACGTCTTCCGTAGAGTAAATGTTCAATAATATTGATTCAATGCAACACGACGATCATGTACTGTACACAACTTTTTTGAAGTAGTACTGTAGTACAACAAGTACAATGCAGGATAACGAAGAACTGAGGAAGTACCGTGCAAGTATGTACATACTTAGTAATGCTACAAAACAAGGGGGAAAAATTAGAGGTAAAAGAGTTTAACGAAAGTCGAAAGAACATGTTTCTGTAAATGTATCGAATTGACCACGCAAACTACTCAATATGTTCACATTGTTAATTAGTCAGCGTCATCACGGAATGACGCAACGTTGCCAGGGAAAATAACTCGCCTTGCGTTAACGGTATTTAACGCCTGCAGCGTTAAATAGCATTAATTACTTTCCTTTGAAAACTTCTACTCCTGTTTTGAAATGCCAAAAAACTTAGAATATTTCCAAGGTTCAACCTTGGTTCAACTCTTGCCGTGTAGGACATTTGTTGTCAGTTGCATCACTACTCGCATCGTTGCCAGTTTAATGGCCTACTTATTCTTTATGAGCGGGGAGAGAGAGACAACCAGGAAGACGCACGAGTTCAGGAGCGCTAGCAGGCGGCAGGCCCGATCGCTGCCCATTGCCCACTAAACTGACCGACAGGCCACTGCTGTAACGGAGCGCTTTTGGCAACTTTCTGCTGTACTGCTGTTTAACGTCAAAATAACTCTTTCAATTTAAAATTTTAATAAACATTGCTGGTGTCGGGTTGTAGATCACGAAACGCTCTTTCCAACAATATGCAGCACGGGGGGTGTACCAATTTAACCATATGTTGGGTACCTCTCGTCTTAAGAAACCTAAGATTAACCTGAGAATAACCTAAGAATGCGCATGAGAAAACAACATGTGAACGTAATCCAAGTTCAGTTATCCTAGTCAGCAAAGTGCGCTGCTTCATTCGGTAAGACTGTGTTGAAGTGTGTTCATTATAGTTGTGGTTCTTATTACAATTTTGATTCTTCTTTAAGTATTACGGTGTTAGAATAAGTATTACTTTAAGTATTACTCGTACATTGTGTTAATACCATCCTGCAGCAGTTGTCCCTATATGGAAATAAATCAAGTATGTCTTTACAAATAAAATAAGTATGCAAATTGTCTTTACTTACGATTAATTGAACGTACTAGTGTAGTAGGCTTCAGGTAGCATTGCACTGCATGTACTTATTATAACGCGCCCAGTATTTCATGAGAAACTTGTCCGTGATTCCAAGCCTTTGTTTTACTACTTATTCAGGTGGAGTAATTTTTAAGATAATAATTAGAAGTCTTTTATTTTTGTTCGCTCTGGGTAAGTGCGGGAAGCAGGTCGGACGACAGTACTGCACAAATGTAAATTTGTCTTAAGCCTGAAACAGAACAGTACTGACTAGAATTTTAATGTCCATGATTACATTTTAATGACCATATACAGAGTACTAGTAATTATATGTAGGATGTATCCAAAAGTTTTATCTGCGCCCTTAAGCTAAAAGTTTTGCATTGCACTTGTCTTTCTGACTGGACTGAGCGGCAGAATTTGCTGCAAAAAAACATTCACTTAGTGAATGCTGTTTCGCACGGTTGTTAATACAAATGATTGTGAGTCTGTGACGACCAGCACCGGACAAGTTATAACACTGCATTATGCTGGCATTTGGCCCCTGGCACCCTTCACGACACGACATAAGCGCAGACCGATAAATTAAATAATATCCCCATATTGTTCTGTATCTTTTTGGCCGCTGATGTATCACATGCTGGTGCTTATCGTCATTTAATCACCAAGTACTACAGACAAATGCTTCCTGATGGACACGTTCGACAGAAACATCGTCAGTGAACCTGACTAGACAAGCTGTTTGCTGGCGCGGCAAGTCGGCAACGCAGACGCCGCATGCGCGCACCTGCACGAGCTACGTGGCCTCACAGTCGAGCACAGAAATCGGTGAACCTCATTTACCAAGGTGCTGCAACATTACCGCGACGTCAAATTAAGAATTTTGACAGCTGCATATGAAAATTTTGACGTGTACATGGTTCTGTACAAAGTAAGAACGAGTGGCTAAAACCAGCTCCGGAAATACGTTTCCATAAGTAAAGCAACATTTGTCATATTACGGTCTATTGTCATTAACAGACCACATACGTATGCATCGCTGCAAAAAGCACCCACTCGTTGCAAAACACAATAATATTTAACTATAATGCGCCATTACCAAGAGGTTTTCGTTCGAACTGCCGGTCAGATTATTGTCGAGCGTTGAGTTCTTCTATACTTCTAGCGATAGTTGTATTACTGCAGTCGCACGCATTCAGCGCCATTCGATAAGCCATTCGCTTGGCTTGCATTTATGGCTCTTACAGCCATGCTGCCATAAATCAGCAATTGCCGCCTGATTGCAATAACAAAATACAGACGAGTTTTCCATATCGAATTTGTCACTTGTGTTCTACTGTACAACAAATGGAATGGCCATCGCTGATAAATGATCTGGTGCCTTAGACTTCGTTTTTCTGACCTCCGCCCGCAGAATCCTCGATTGAAAAGTTGTCCGAAACCAGAAACTTTCCCTTTCCATGTACGTCTGGAGCAAGCGTTACTGTCCGAGATCCGATAGCCGGTGGCAATATGTTTCCTAATAGGTCTGCCACTACAGATGCACGAGGAACCGTCCGTCCAGGTAACAGAACAACTTTTAATTTGTAACAAGGAATACGAGTACGGCTTGCAGTTAACTGCGTGTTTATTTTCATTTTCTTCGCCTTCGCACCTATACAACTGTAATAAAATATTATGCTACAGATCATTTTACTAACAGTAATTCAGAGCAATATTAAAATCTTAGTTGCTGCTTATGCCATGATGCTATGAAATACGTGTGCTATTACTCACATGACAAACACTACCAAATATTTGTTCAGTGTATTAAGCATCAAAGGTAAAGATATTTTTTTCGGGGCAAAAAAATATAGTGTACACAAATCATGTTCTTTAAAAGAGTAAAGAGAATAATTTTTCACCATAATTATCATGTTGCTACTGCGGTCACTACGGGTATACGATTTGCCGAAAATCATTGATGCGATTCACAGAGTAACATGTTGTTGTGCAACTAGCGCTACATAATTAATATTTTGGTTGCACAGTTTTTATACGTATTTTCTTGCTAGATCTCGCTATTTTGTTGTTAAAGCTGACTTGTAAATAACATGTATATGTAAGTATCAGTATGTAGCTGGCATCCATCATTACGCTTATGTATGGTGGTACTGATGCAGTCAGAGCGGCCAAAAGCAGATTTAACATAAAGGTTGATAATCATTTGGTGGCAGCGGGAAGCAGTTCTAGGATTCTTCTAGCACAACTAGCATCATTATTAAGTTATTAAATACAAAACATACGATTTTGTATACTAGTAGTATTTGTATTATTTTGTATCTGTTTATACTTCGTATTTGTTTCTGAAAAAGTTGCGTTAAATAAGGACAAATAGTTGCGTTAAAACGATTTATATATCTTAAAATTTTATATAATTACGAAGTCTGGTTCTGTATATGGTTGATTCATCAAACTTTTGAGGTTAAAGTTAAAATCCACGATGTGCCCTGCATCTATACATTACGAATTCTTGGAAAGCAATAACATACTGTCGAAGAAAGTAACCATAAAAAAACCGCACCGACAACCCAGTTAATGCGATTTTTGAATAGGTAATTTCTTTGCGACGTTGGAAGGTACTCGACGTTGGAAATATCTACTGTGGCATGCCGAAACAGATATTTCCAACGTCTAGTAAAATAATACAACAGAAGGCTGAAAAAAATAAAAAAGCACGGCAAAAAGTTGTACAGAGTGAAAAAGGGCCATCGTCCTGACATTTGTGTATTAGTAAAGTAGTTTCCAGAAAATCACAAAGACTGCACAAAATAGAAAATTATTATTTAGTTAATGCTTGCCTAGAACTGCAAGCGCATATTACAATTTTTTTTTAAAAGTATAATGCGATACAGCACGGTACGTGCATTTGTTAAACAGAGCTTTTTTGATCCACAAGAAACTGTCAACGGAACGTGACATAATTGTACTTGTACTAGTATTAAACGGTATTATCAGATGCCGACGGCTCCTTCGATTTTCAGTATTTACGTATTTGATTTGTGAATGAGCACAAAATGCCGTATATGAGTTTATTATCTTATTTAAAACATTACAATCATATAAATTTTAATAATTCACAATCATAAGCCATGCCGCGCTCGGCACCTACGTCCTACATGAGGGGAAAAACACTGTCGCACAGCACACGCTCCCTGTACTTCTACTTCGTCTTCTTCTTCTACTGGTCTCGTAACTCTCGCCATCTGACTGGAGCATCATATATAACATAATACTGTCTAACACAATATAATTTATAATATTGTATAATGTAGATAGATATAATATGTATATAATACCGTATAATGCACAGTGCCGCTTTAATTCACTGTCAATAAAAGCATTTCGTTTCATTTTGGATTGCTTATTCCTACTGGTCCGTTCAGCCAAAATCACAACATTCATCCATGACAGCTTTTCTGGGATTTATGGAATTAGAATTTTCTACAAAAAATCTTGAAATCGGTTTCGTGAAACATACAGGTGGCTTCAACAGCATAAGCCACAAGTTGATCACCATTGTCTGATGTGACGGAGATGCGTTGAGCTTTTGCTTAAGTGTTTTGATGGATATTTTCTCTTGTTGCAGCCCGTATCCTTGTGCAGGCGCAACCCTGATTGTTCTAGACGTTAAGCAGATTAAACAGACAACAAAATATTCGTGGCTGCACTTTTGAAAAGTTGTGGCAAGTGCAGCTGGTACAGTAATATGAAATATCGAAATATTGAAATATCGAAATATTTCGTATTTGATACCGATGGCCACTGCCACTGCTTCGTAAATCTAATCTATAAAACTGTTATAGAATGTGCCTAATTGAGAGGAAGCATATAAGTTCATGTTTTGTGTCGTGCGAAATAATTTTTGCTTTGAAGAAGAGAACATTTCGGCTTTGCTGTTTAAGAGTAGCATGTATGAACTTCTTTCCCCGAAGATATTGCACAAGCTGCGGCATGGGAGGAACATTTGAGTTAATAACTGGTAAGCTCTTTACAACGTGTGTTGCTGAATTTTGCGAAGCACATTGCGCTTTCCTATTATTTTTACGTGCATTGCTTCGATTCGAAAAACAGTTTGTAGTTTGTAGCACTATACTTGTTGCGCGTGTGCCGTTTATCGTCAGCACATGATTAACGCAGCGTATTAAATCGAATTCAAATCTGAATTTCTTTATTAATTTTGTTTATACGTAAACTCGGATAGTTCCACAATATATGGGCAGTGCATTAGAGTAGTAGTGAAAAAAAAAACAACGCTCGTAAAAAACATAAATTATGGCTATTGAACTCATGAAATGTTCTTCTTGGTTTGCTAACTGTGCTTAAAACTAAGGAAGGAAATGGCCTTGTTTGACCCTTTTTAAATACTGGACTCAATAAATCCAAACTGGTCGTTGGAAGTGTATAATTATGATACTGCGAGTACCATTTGATTTGTGCGATCGCATATCTCGTAGAAATTGACCTTATTTTTGCGCATAGTTTAGATCTTGCACTTTAGGTGATGTTCGTGTTTGCTCAGCCCAACAGCGGTAAACCACCGAGCTAATTGGCCCGCACCAGCGGCATCAAGCTAAGATAATAGCATAATATTTTAGGGTAAAGGAGCCATCTGATAAGAACAGTCTAGATAGCAGCAGCGAGCAGTTATATTAGTATAACCTTTGTATATCGTGCAAGTGATGGTTTGGAACCGAATGTACATGTACATGCATAAAAGCTGCCGGCGCCAAAATTTCCGTGCACGGAGAAGTGAAAGAAAAGTCACGACTTAAAGTTCCACAGAGCGGCACAGTATCTGATGTAGACGGTTATATAACCTATGCGCAACAAATTTTGCGATAATTCGTCCGGTTAACGTTTAATTATTATGTAACGCTGATTAGTACTAGTCATTAACCCATCGACCTTGCAGAAACGTCAACCACGTACTCGCAGCTGGAACGTGCATCACGCACCCTGTTAGAAACAGGTAATGACCGCACCCTGTTGGAATTCGAACGCCGGCGGTCTGGATTCCAGGATGAGGTTGCTGAGACAATCAGTGACATGAAAAAGCCAAGCACACTATGTTTGGCTCCCCATCCACTGACTGACCGCGGAGCACGAAAACCCAAATGCGCAAGATGCCGGAACCATGATGAAATGGCGTGGCTTAAAGGGCACAAGAAGAGCTGCCCCTATAAGGAATGCACGTGCGACAAGTGTATTCTCATCATGGAACGACAACGCGTGATGGCTGCGCAGGTTTGTGAAACAGTATGCAATCGTGAACCGTGTTTTCGTTGTGGTGTATTGCCGCTTAATTATATTTGAAATCTGTGTGAACAAGGTACAAGATCGGCCTTTCCGCCCGATAGGAATATAAATTTGTATTATTATATACGCACAATTGAGATTGTATGAGTAACCCGGCCGTGGTACCATTGTACAGGTAAACTAGCGGCTAGCGGAACAATACGTAATGCGTTAACGCAGTGTTTTGTATATTGTACATTGCCCTTTTATTAAAATTTAATAAGAAGCTATGTCGATCTACTGCATTAATTCATATTAATATTACTTTTAATAAATGCGGTATCCAGTCTGTACCTACCTTGGCATTTATAAACACCCTATGGCGGTAATTTTGCGGGAGGTTTTATTTTTCAACGTGTTTGTGGAGGGGGTCATGGTTACATATAACACCAAAACCTTAAGTTATTAGCTCAGCCGCTTTATACGACTCGTAAGAAATGTCATTGCCCGTCTTCCCGAGACCTTGTATTAAGTAAGTAATAACAACCGCAATCCTGGTTCCACAATCTGAGTACCCGTACGGCGTACAGTGCATATATTCTGTAGGTAGCCATGCAAAATACATAAGTACATCAAAATCAGCCGCTGCTGACCGCGGTGTCCCACTTTTATTTACCTGTAGTTCGCGTAGCAGTACTAACCGGTGCTCATACAATACAATGTCATATTGTTGGATCCAGATGGATCCAGATGGACGCGTATGTGGATCCAGATATGCTGCACCGCACTACTAAGCATCATTAGACGTAAAGCAAGTGATTTCAAGGATTCAACAGGTTCTATTCTAATTACACAGGTTGCTCTGAAGCGTCGTCAAGCCGCCGAAGAAGCTGTTGCGATTGGGCTGCGCGCAGCCGTTACAGATGACAATTTGGGTTACATCCCGCCAGGACCAATTTTTCCCAGCCACTCGCGCCGAGGCTCTTCTTCACTGAAAAGCCTACCTGAATCGGATTTTTGTCAGAGGCCGTTATCTCGACCGCACTCTTCAGTTTCAGTCAACGATAGCGTCTCCAACAGGAACTGCAGAAGTTCCAATCCGTCATTGGAAGACGAAGACCTTATAGAGAATGCCACAATCATTAGCTCTCGCATACATGGACAAGAAAGTGTCATAAAACGCGCAAAAACCGAACAGCGTGCCAGTTGTGGCAGGCGCTTAGAAAGTCGTCCGGAGAAATCAAATCAAGACTCTACGGATATCGAAAACGTAAAAATCTTGAGAAAAGTATTCCCGACTCACGCTAACGAAGTGTTATTGGAAGCTTTGAACAAGCATCATGGAAATTTGTTCCAGACATTACAGTACATGTTTTCGGAAAAAGGATGTTCGACGGTACCGTATGAGCAAAAACCTCCACACCCGTCAAACGCTACGGCCGTCCACAGTCGATCCGGTTCAGAGAATACAAGCGGCTATCGCGATGCATACAAAATGCCCACGCTCCATGACACTGCGGTAATGAATTTTGTAAAACCGCCTTGGATGGGTGACTATCACACACACCCATTAATGGATACTCACTGGACCCTGATTCGTCCGGAAGAGTTAGTCCGGTCTACCCAATTTCCCAGTGCTATGTCACCCCTGTTCACTGCCTATCCGACGGTAACTGGTGGATTCGCCCCGCATATATCGTACCCGGACTATTCAGCTTTATTTCCTGTGCGTCACCCTTCCGAGAGATTGCTGCGCCCATCCTTTGCAAACAGTAAACTGACGAGCGAGCAGCCGGCATACATTTATGGTATTGCGGAAACTATGCACAGCGGAAACATCAAGAGGGAATAGATGCCGCGGTCATCCGTGCAGTCGATTCGAAAACCTGAGTGCGCTTGCACCTTATCCATGTAACTTCCCACCATTGCATTAATTTATGTAAGTGAATAGTCTTGAGCCGGTATAAGTGGTATCTCATCGCTGATCTGTCCAACGATTGCGCTTTCCTCGATTGATGACAGTTCCTGATCTGAACCTGCACAATTTTGTGCAGGAAGTTTGCGGTTTTTTTGTTATGAAGGGTGCTACACATTTGTTTCTGCCTATAATTTTTATTGTTGCCTTGACTATTTGCTGCAATTTATTAAACGTTCATAACAAATGTTTGTTTGGGTTTTTCGAAAAATATATATCGATTGCAAGTTGTTGTCACTGATGTTGCAAATCATGATTGTGTCACGTGCGAGTTACTCGTTCTCTAGTAGAGTAGGATCCATTCTGTAGCACATACAGATACTGTACTGTACTTATCTGTACCCATAAGAACGGCATTGCCGCTCTACAATAGTCCAAACCGAATTGTTTATTCTGCACCCGGACAGTGTTTTGCCGCACACAAATTCGACGCGCGCGAAGACATCTCGCCGCGGGACAAACGGACGCTGAGACCTTTCGGTTTTGGGACACAATGCTTTAAGACGGTTTGTCTTTGCGATATTTGACGAAAGACATTTGATCGCGGCAGTTCACCGCAAACGAAATCGATACGATTATTTTTCACATGTTTTCTGGTTTTCTTTTGTTTTTTTTTGCTTGCTTATGTTTTCCTGCTTTTATGTTAAGGTTTTTTATGTGGTCTTTAATTTTTGTTGTCTGATGTTCACTTAAATTTTATTATGCTTCCTCTTTCATTCAGGTTTCTTAAGTTTTCTTTAATTTTCTTAGAGTTTTCCTCAAAACGGCCTCGCGAAGAAATGTCTAGCGGCGTGCTGTCCTGCCGGCGAAATGCCCGTGACGATATGTCGCGTGGCGAGATGAATTGCCGCTAAACGTCTACGATCAAATGTCCTTCGACTAATTGTCCTAGGCGAAATGTCGCGGTGCCCTTTATTCAGCTTTACAGGCCTCCGCAAACTTTGAGAAGTACTATCCAGTGCATCCGCACATGTACAGCACATGTCGGCGATCCATGCAAAACACTGTAATGGTCATGGCAGACAAACCCTGCGGCACTCATGCTTCTGGTCAGCACATGCCACATGGCAACATAGGTAGAAAACGATTAAACAAGAAACAATTAATTTGGAAAATTATACGCAATAATATACAAAAATCAGGGGGATCAACGGAGCCACCAGCATACCTATTTACAGAAGTGTTTTAGAGTGAAGAAAAAGCCAGGTACAGTTGACAGAGCCACAGTTAAAAATACCTTCCCTGCTATCCATTATTCTATCAAACTACTGCTTTAGTCGCATCCCAAGGTCGTCCTTCCCAGTTTGAGGCAGCTTCTATGCTCAGCCGAGCGCTGGCGCCAATGCGCTTCGCAGCGCGAAGATGGTTCCTGGCACTCGTGTCCTTGAAAGGAAGCCAAGTCGAGCATATACAACGGCATCACGATTCTGTCCCGGTTCCGAATCTTATATAGCCACACTGCTTACTTTTGGCGCCATCGTGTTACTGCTGGGGTGATTCCCAGCTGACCGTACAACTTCGGCGTTACCCGTATCCTGTCCGGTGAGGGTCCGCAAGACTACGTGTTGCCGTTTAATCAGCTTCCCTGCTCGCCCGAAGACTCCGTTGACCAGGCCAACGCATAGTAATCTATTACTTATGTGTGGCTGGACAAAAGCGTGGCAAGGGTAACTCGCTGGTGGATGCTGACAGTGTATAATCTTCTGGATGTCCTAGTTCATGTTTCGCTTCGCTTTCTGGAACTACTTACCCTACATTTTGGATTTTAATCCAGTTCGACTCCAAGGTATAGTACGTCGCATGCTGCTTGAGTGTCAAATGCTCACCATTTAGAGCCACTACTTCCGCTTCTTTCTGCCACTGCATGCAGAAATCGCGATGCTGCGATGCGGCAATTATGCCGCCATTTAATCGTTCAGTCGCTCGTACCTTCGTTTTTCCGCTTGCGTGCATGATTATGTCATCCGGCCCGCAAATGCCTCAGTTTCACACCTGTTAATGTCCTTCTGCAAAAGGTCGTTCTTGTATAAGGTAACAACACCGGGACCGAGTCTTGTCCCCTGCCGTACACCTGATTCAACCGGTAATCAGTGGGACACGCCCTTGCTGGTCTTCGCTCTTTGCTGGCGGCCAGTTAAGCAGGAAAGAAACCACTTTGAAACAGTGCCTTCAATTCCGGTCTGCCGCAGTTTTGGCATTAAAACCTTTCGTGGTGAGTCAAATGCTTTCTTCAGATCGAGGAAGGTTATTGCGGTTATCCTGCCATTATTGCATTACGCGATTCCACGCTTCCGTTACTTTTATTAGTTCGCATGAGTGTTCCTGGCGAAATCCAGACTGGCTACTGGAAGGCACACCGTTGGCGTTCAGGCAGTCCATCAGTTGGATCTGCACACAGCGTTCAACCACCTTTGACAGATTGCATAACAAGGAAATTGGCCTAAAATCATCTGCGCTCGCTGCGCTTGGAACTGTTGCAAGCGGGCACACATCGGGCTACCGATCACTTCGGCCGTTTTCATTTCGGCCGCGTTCATTTCGGCCAAAGTTTTTCGGCCGCCATTCACCTCGGCCGTTATTCACTTCGGCCGTCATTCAGTTCGGCCGCCGATCACTTCGGCCACAGTACATTTCGGCCGACGCTCTTCATTTTAGTTTGATTCACAAGAAAATGTTACCTGCGATATAAGTTTATCGGTTACTTAAAACCATTGAATCATAAAAGTGGCCGCGTTCATAATTATCATTTTGCACGCACAATTTGTTTTAGCAGTTCTTGTTTAAAAGAAACCTAAGAAACCTAAGAATCCTAAGAATCCTAAGAATCCTAAGAATCCTAAGAATCCTAAAAATCCTAAGAAACCTAAGAAACCTAAGAAACTTAAGAAAACGTCGGAAACTCAAGACACCTATGATGGCCGAAATGTCCCGTGGCCGAAATGAGCGCTGGCCGAATTGAGTGTTAGCCGAAGTGAGCCACGGCCGAAATGAACGTTGGTTGAAGTGAACCTGTACGGCCGAAATGTAACACGGCCGAAGTGATCGGACGCGCTTCCAGTATCTGTCAGTTCCAGCCTTCCAGGTGAATGATTATCCGCGTACGTAAGTTCGAATTTCCGGATCCGCGATATACTGAGGCATCGATATTATCATAATCGGAAGCAGAAATCTAAGTACATACCGCCTGTAAATATATAGATATACGAAGCACAAGGCATGGACTGTCAAACTCAATCAAACTCAAACTCACTCAGCCCGTCAAAGCAAGCAAGTCTGATTAGTTTCGATTTTTTAACAACTGCTCAAAAGCACTTTCGTGTGCGTATTTATCCATAATGCAGTTGTATTAGCGTACTCCTGGAAATCGCCAAGCTGATCTCGCTCGTCGCTGGGCTTCGCATACTTCTATTGGCTGTGTCGCGGGAAACGGGAAAGCATACCTAAAACGTTCAACCCGATTCATCGTATTTACTATTTCCCACCGGCTGACTGTTAAACATAAACCGGTTTCGTCCAAGCCGAGTGATACTGGCGAACATGGAAATGCCAATAATAAATTTTTCCGCATAAACAAAGCAACTCTTAAATCGCTGACTCCCCTGCGACGCTGTGAGTGAACTGAAGGGCAGTTGACCGTGTGCATTAGTTATAGTAGCGCATTATGCAGTAGCAAACAGCTGAGAAATCCCGCTGTGCATTTCCCGCCTGGTTTACACTTTACACCTTTAGACAGACTGCGTTGGCCTCAACAACAGTCGATTGGCAAAGATGTTAGGAGTTTATTGGCAATGATCAGTACTTGTAAACAAATTTCACACAGACCCGGACTGCCTGCGAGCTTTTGTGAGGATATGATAGGCGGTAGGTATCTCGTCGATCCCCTCCTTTGCGGGTTGAGGAAGCTAGGGTGGGAAAAGCAGATTTTGTTTACTTCATTAAAAAAGAAAAAAATACTGATTGGTGATGTCGATTTAAGCAATTTACGCAGTGTTAAGAGTCTTGACTCCTGTCCTGACAGACACTGCCGCTTTATTTGGCGAAACGTAAGTACATAAGTATGTTTCGCAAAAGAGAAAAAAAGCGGCGTTATGACAACTCAGTGTTATGTGGTATTATAGTACTGTACACAAAGCGGCCTTTCGCCTAATTGTTGCTTCCGTTCATAAGGTTTGTGTAAATAACTGTCAAAAACATATGCGTACCTTTCCGGCGTTTCCGCCTCCTTTGAAATAAGGGTTTTTTTGGCGCATTACAGCAAGCGGAACTCAATAAAAGTTGAGATAAATGTATATTATCGCAATCGTTGTCGACGGTCCACTAAAACATCTGTACCAGCAACATGAAAATCCTCTGCAGCAAAATTCATAAACGTGATAGCAACAGCGGCCGATAGCGTTATGCATACGTCGTTTGGGTGGGCATGCGTTACTACATGTATTTTAAGTTCAGTCTTCCGACACTTTACAGTTTACAAAAAGTATTCCACAGTGCACCGTGCAAATTATCAGTATGCGCCTGACTTTGTTATATGAATACTGTACATCTCTTGCAGGTTTTCGGCCTCTCCTGTTTGTTACCTATGTTCTCAGCTTCCACTGAGCCGATTTTGCAGCTTTAAATTTTCACAGAATCCTTTCACAACGTAGAGTAAAACAAAGCTAGTAGTTTTTTCACTCTCACAAGCAGGATAATCCCAGTGGTCACTCAAAGGCTTGTTGCCATGGATGCCATAGGGCTAACATACGCTTGTCTGTCACCACGGCCAATTTAGGGTTTAACAAGAAACAGCTTTGGCTTCGCTTCTGCGTTTCTTGTGGACCACGTACCGAGTGAACGAATGATTCGGTTAGTTTTAGAATAAAATGAAAACTAGCAGCCAAGGCACAAGCGAAACAAACTTTAATGGCGAAAGGTCAACATTTGTAGAACCGGGCATCAGATCTAGATACTGGCCTGATCGACCTCACCTCATAAGAAAAAGTGCCAACTGCTAACGTAATAGATAATGCCAGTAAACGTCCGCTTGTTGACTAGTCACCAAACTAAATGCAGAAACAGGAAAAATTTCAGCTGATTCAAACGCAAGTTGACCGCAGAGCATTCTCGATGTCACCGGTTAAATCTAATAAACTGAAGGCGGCCTGTTGTCTTATACTCGTATTAAAATTAACTGGTTTCAAACAAATTCATAACTGCTATTAAATAACTAATGCTTCCTCGAATACAGTCATAACTGCTAAACTATGAAATCGTAACTACTGTCTCCTC